GATAAAATTTATGATAACCATCTATTCTAAAAATTTCAAAATTTGGTACATAAGCTACTTCGTTATGGTACGTAATAGCGTGAGCAGTGCGAACATTAAAAGTTTCGTTTGAAATAAACTGCTGATAAAAGTTATAAGCTAAAGATGGTTTTATTAAACTTCTCGAGCTACCGGTGTCAATAAGAAAGTAAGCGTCAAGTTCAGGAATGTAAATGTGAGGAAGATCTACACGATTATTGTAACTATTGAGATGTACTATGTCTTCGGCTTGCTGGTAGTAGCCTGATGAAAATTTACATTTGAATTTTCCTGTTCATAGTTTTGAATGTTTTCTGGCATGTCAAAATCCGTTGCATTATTGTAATTATAATATTGGTCGTCAGTATTCGAATAAGGCGAATTATTTTCCTGATAAATATATGGTTCAGTTACATAGTTGTAATTTTCTTGGGGAAATTCGTTCTGTTCATAACTATCTACGATATTTTCTGGATTTTCTTCTATTTGTTGGGCAAAAAGTTCAGAGGTAAATTTCGGGTTTGGTTTAATTCTAGAGTTACCAGAACTAGTATCCATTGGTTCAGGTTTATATGAATTTTGGCTGGTTCTAGTCACTGTACTAGGATTTTGTCTTTGAAAAAATTGAGGTTGATTATTTTGAAATACGTTAAAAGGCTGTGGATTCCTTTGAAAAGGTGGTCTCGAAAAATTTGAAAAATTTGGTCTTGGATGCAAAGTATTTTGGAAATTTGGTCTAAATGGTGTGTTATTGAAAAGAGGTGAACGATAAGGTGGTGTTTGTAATGGTACTTTAAACGGGAAAGTAGAACTTTGAGGATTTTGCGTATAATGTGAAGATCTAAAATTAACTGGGTTTGGTTTTTGATTTACACAAGCTTGAGGTTTATAAACGGGATTTTTAAGATTTTGGTTATGACCTGTACTGAAATAAACAAAATTTTCTTCTTCAGTTACATGTGCTAAAGCTTGTTCTAATGAAGTCGGATTTCTTAATCTAACCACTAATTGCATTTGATAAGGTAATCCGTTAATAAAAGTTTTTAAAGCAAAATTACTGTAGTGTTCTATTTTAATACGTCTTTCGATTTCTGTTGCATCTGATGCATTAAGTTTTGCCAAAAGAAGACTACGACAATCTTGTACTCGCATACCAAATTGTAACGGAGTTTCATTTTTATGAGGTTTTAGAGAAATTAAATCATGTATAAGGCAATCTATACTTCGCTGATCAGAAAACGTTAAAATTAAGCAATCTTTAATCGCTTTCCAAGAATTAAGTTCGATTCTTGAACCCACTAAATCAGCTGCACGATCTCTTAACTTACTTAGAATCGTATCAAATAAGCAAATATTAAGAGGGTCGTTAACATTAGCAATATTTTGAAAAGCTCTTAAGAAATTTTCAGAAGCATTAATAAATCTTTGCAATTGTTTGGGATTTCCATCAAAAACAGGAATGTTATCGGCTTGATAACGAAGTAAGCCAATATCGACTGGTTTTGGGCTACTTGTAGTCATTTCAGAAAATGATTTTATTAATTCATTCAAATCTGGATTACTACTACTATTCATAAATTTGTACCCTTTACACAGGAAAAGCAATGGAGATAAAATTAGGAATGAGCACTTACAGTACAGTTGGTTTCATTTTTCTTAGCCTAGGTTTTAGAAATGAAGGCGATTTGGTCCTTGTCCTTTGTTGATGGGCGGCAACCGAAGTTAGGCTTGCTCCCAAAATTCGAATCCCCAAATTGGCTGGCTAATGATAGTCGACGATGTTTGTTCTGATCAGGAACCACCAATTTAGAGTTCTTTGTTTGTGCAGAACACGCGTAGTACACTTTTTCAAATGTTCAATTTGTTTTTTGATAGTTAAATTAGTCGTTAAAACGACGCGGTCCTTTTTTGGCGATTTTTGTCCGAACCGTTTAACTATCCTACTGACTGCGCCAATTAAGTTTCGGGAATTTGAAACTTTGTTTTTAAAAACGTTTATTAAAAACTAGAAATTACAATCGACTTCCTTATTAGAAGGATGAAAAGTAACTTACTCTAAAAACTATTCTTTCTTTTCTCTACACATAAAAAATGAAAATACATAATACATATATAAAAAAAATGATGAGGCATTAGATTTAATGCAATACATAGAACATACGAGTAATATAATACTCAATGCTTAGCGTGTGAAATATAGGTGAATATAACTTGCTTCAATTTATAGGTAATGAAATTCCTTAGTTAAATAAACTTTACTTATTATCCTCGATTTATCTGGGTTATGGATCATAAACTGTACATTATGATTAACACGACCAACAAAACAAAAATAATCTAAACTACTATAAAAACTTGTATAACTTCACGATAATGTTGACCTGTGCGCTTATCGCAATTCTCTGATATTCGAAATTCGACCGAATAAACAAGTAATTGAATTTTTTAAACATAAACTAATCAAATTTAGAAACTAGGTAATTACTGTATAACATTTAAGAAGCATCTATCTCCTTGAACATTAGGCTTTATTACATTTTTATACTCTAATCACAATTTTCCTAAATAAAGTTATCAGTTTTTTGTCTGCATATTTAACTATAATCATCTTTCTCTATCAGAAATCCTATAAAAAATTGTAAAATGTACAGGACACAAGGTAAAAATGCCCATATTAGAGAAATGTACAAAACAAAGTGATAAAAATTCATTTGCAATAACAGTGTTAGTGTTGTGAAAGCATAATCATTTTCATAGACTGCTTTTGTACCAAAAAAATTTAGATTATTTTATTAAAATCCAATAATTTAGTTGCTTACGAATTTCGACTCGCACTGTAACATTTCTATCTTTATCTAGATCTAGACTACAGCGCACTCATTTAATTTTGCAGGAAAGTTTCAATTTAAAATACAAATTGTTTTAAATACGACTGGCGACTGTTGGTCATCGATATAGGCAACCCACTTAACTGCAAAGTATTCTGAACGTCAGGCTGCAGTAGCAGTTCTGACTTCTTTTACTTATTAAAGATTCGGCTTTCAAAATCAGGATTTAAAATATTAATAATCACGAAATAAAAACGTTTTTAAATTTGGGGTTGGAAGTGCAAATACGAAGTATTTTCTACATTCCTTTAGTTTTTAATTCACTTCAGTATCTGAAGAAGGTAACCTTATTATTGAAAAGTACTTCAAAAGTTTACTGTAGTGTTTTCACCTTACAGTTTTAGCTATTTATGATGTTCTATAACATCACCAAAGTTTTCCAGTCTTCCAGATGATATTTAATGCTTACTTTTTTGAAATATCTACATCATTAATTAATATTACTTACCTATTCACTATCACAAATCCTTCCTTCATTAAAATATCAACACATCATACTGCCTCTGTTTTCAGTGCAAAAGGGCACTTTTACGTTTCCTTTAGATACTGCTCCATCCTGAAATGAAAAGTGCTCTATATCTTCTATAATTTTTATGTATCTATAAAATGAAATGTTTATGAATGAAAGGACATACAAAAATAATTTAGTCTCCTTACTACAAAACCTGCACAACAGAAAGTTATAAGTATGTTACTAAATATATTATGGCATGTATTTCTTACCTCAATTAACTCCCAGACACAATTCAGCAAGAGCACTGTTCCATGGTACACAATTTTGTTTTCAGTAGTCAAAATCAACTGCAATTCTCTCTCTCCTTTGCAGGCCAATCTGTACAAATAGACAAGAAAACAAATTAACTACATTATTAAAAAACCACGATACCAAATAAAATACACACATAAAAGCAAGTAAAACTGAAAAAATTCAAACTGGCCACATAATAATGGTGTCAATTGTTTTTTTTTAGGAAGACAAATTATCAAATAAAAATTAAATAACCTTAATACACAATACAATTTGCGACTTTTACCGGAGCTAATTATCAAAATTATATACAATCATAATAATAAATACGATAACAACAGTAGATACGAAAATAATTAAACAATACAGTCAGGCAATTGACATATAACAGGTGTTTTGTCATTTCTGCAAAATAAACAAATATCGCATATGCAACCAAACAAACATCAGTGTAAATCAGATTGCCTAAAAGTATTTGATGAAAAATTATATGTAAAATAAAAAAAGTTTGTACGTGCTGTTATAATTGTTTTCATTTTAACAATACGTATATAAAAAAATACTAAGTACAATTAGAAAAAATATATTATAAGGGGCCCTTCAGTTCAATATTTCGAATCTCATAAAGATTTGCGAGGCAAGCATCAACAAATCAGCCTCTGCTCTCTCATTGGAAAAGAGAGGGTGATATTTACAATTAGAAAAATAATGCTCCCAAAATGTGTAAAATGTTTAATAACAATACAATTCATATATAATTAATAAGAACACTGTAGAATCTTCAGTTTAGTCTTGTAAATTATTGAAAGGTTAAATATCACTTATTTCTTCTTTTTTGGAGCATTCTCAGTTCCAGAAATGTATTTCTTTGGAATTTTATATTTGTCTAAATAAAAAATGCACAATTAATATTAGTACAAAGCAAATATAAATAAATTTATTCTATGCTTTTCTCAGGGCAATTTTACTGTTCCATGGAATATTTCTTATCCAGAAAATTTGTCATTAATAAGTAAAACCCATAAAAAGCTTAGAACCAGTGTACGTCGGTCGTAAAAGGATGTTGAACTATTTTTACACTTACTTTGTAAGTGTGAAGTAATAAAAACAATTTGATTCCCTTGTACTAAAAGTTGTCTCGACTTTTTTCCTTTTATAGTATTTATACTTGTACTTGCAGCAACGTTCTGTTGACATTCCTTAGCAAAGTTTTCAATATTGATACCATATATCTCTAAATTATCAACCAAAGTAACCTTCTTATTGCCAGTTCTTATTGCTACTGACAAAACAATTGGATCAAGTTTTCCTTTTTGCACAACTTCCGTTTGGCTATTTTGAATTTTAAAACAGCTTCCCATTGAAGTAAATAACTTCTGAAATAATTCTTCCCAAGTCACTACATCTGTCTCTTTAAATAATGAACCAAAAACAACATTAACCTTTACTTTTCTGAAAAAGTGAATACTTTTTTAATAGACAGAGGTGAAAAAAATTGTATTTGTTATACTTAGGATCATTCTCATTTTGCAGATTATGTAACTTGACATACTCTTTTATATAACTTCTAACTTCAGATTTCTGTAAAACTGAACCTTTTCTATAAAAATCACTAATAGTGTTAATATTAAATTATTATGGTGATTTTTAAATACTTGCTTCAAATTAAAGTCTGAAAAAATAGGTAGTACAGCAGCTGTTACAGTTAATGCTTCCTCAATCACTGGTTGTTTGTCTTTTACTTGCTCTACTTTTAATTTACTACCCTCAAAAGATTGTACAAGTAAATGTGTATGATTTATATCCACAATTTCATCTACTCCAGGTTGTTTTTCTTGAAGTGTGATAATTCCTAACTAAATAAGTTATATCTGGTATTGTAATATAAATATATGGTATGCCACTTTTCTATACATACCTCTGCCATCTCTTTTAGAAAACTGCTTAGTTTTTTGTATGATGATTTCTTAATGTCAAGTGACAAATCTTCAGGACAAAATGGAACTACACAAGTTTTATAAAAAGTAGATGTTAATATTGGTAACTGAATATTTTTTGAAAATTTGATGCAACTAAAGAAGCAATTTTTTAATAGCCGATCCATTGCTGTTATACCTGAAACTTGATAAATAAGTGGGTGGTTTTGCTGTAATAGTGAAGTCTCTATCTTACTCTCAGAAATTTTATTACATTCATCAATAGGAGTGTTACTAGGTGTACCTAATTCCTGTTCATATGAATTGTCATTTATCATATTAGTGGTGTTTATAGATTTTTCAGATTCATTACATACAGTTGTAATATTTTGATAGTTTAATATCCAATCAGGAGGTTGTAATAGTGGTAACTGAACAGTTGGTAGATTTTCCAAGGTACATAGTCTATCTCCAAGCATATGATACACTATTAGGCACTTCCCTTTGGTATTTAAAAACATATTGCCGGAATTACATGCAGTTACACCAACAGCCTGTGGGGCCTTATTATCTTCCGTATTAACAGAAGCAGGTACACCCTTCTCAAACATTCCATATACCGTAGAAAAATTAATTCCTTTTGGAAATATTACACCAGGGATCATCAAATCTGCTCCTTCTTTGAGTTTTGATATTACTGGAGCATGAGTAGTAAAGGAAATTAACAAATTAGGCCATTTCCAAAGTGTGTATATCGTAGGAAAAATAATATTGTCAACTTTAAAGGCAACTGCTCTTTTCTGCACTAAATAAACATCAACAAGTATGCCTGCAGAGGTTTCAACTTTCAACAAAGAGATGTTGTCCTTTTTCGGAAATATTTCTTTAAGGCTGGTGTCTTGCAACTGAGGATAATGTTTAAAAAAGGAATCAATTAAATGTTTCCTAAAAATTAATAATTTGTGGAGACTGTGTGTACAAGGCATTTTATCAGCTGATTTTACCGTTCTGATGATCGAAGTTGGTTATTAGCTTTAACTTTAAACTGTTTTCTAAACATTTTTATAAATTTAAAAGAAATGCCACTAAAATATATTAACAAAACCAATAAACGTTTTAAAATACAATAATATAACCCCCATTTTACTTCAAACGTCAAAAAGCAATTTGGTTATTAAACAGGGTGGAAAACTTTATAACCAATTGCTAACATTAAAAACACCATCTACTAATTTTTAAAATGAATTAATGTTTTATCAGATTAACCGAAGTTTTTACAAGTTTATTACCTATTTTGACGATTGCAATATAGAATAATAACCACATAATAACTTAATCCAAATATATGCTTTCATTTTAAACACTATTTGGTTACATTTGACGTGTCAGTATTTGATTGGTTGCGGAGATTGCCACCATTAGAATTTTTGAATTAATTAACTTCAAATGTTTCGTAAATAATTCAACAAATCGTAAATGTTTACTTACATAACAATAAGTAAAACATATTGAGTATATCACATATTAATACAATATAAACTTAACATAGATGGTCGTTTCTATTTTAGTTGGATACATTTCGTTTTTATCTAATGAACTGACGATCGATTATGCAATTAAGCTTGTTCATTCGATTTTACGTAATAAAAGAAATTGAAAGAAATTCAGTGAGTAATGCGATAAATGATAATGCATTGTTGTAATAATTTCATTTCAAAATCATCGAAATGCTGGTGCTTAAAAAAAAATTGGATTATTAATCTCAGATGGCGTCAGTAACACCTCCACAAAATGCCAGCGGCAGGGTTTTGGGGCCTTGGAAGCCCGCCTACACCTTGAATACTGCGTAAGCAACAGCTTGTGAATTCGGACGTGCTCCCATTCAAACAAATTAATGAATTTTGAGCGAATCATTTTGTCTTGTTAGTTATCTACAGTATTTCGTTCAAATCAAAAATGTTCTGATTATTTAATTTTCGAGATGAAAAGGGAGCCGATTACGAAAACAAAAATTATTTACTGTTTTAAATTTGTGAATCTTATGTGTTTAGTATTTAGTGTAATAATGATCTTGAACAAAATCGAATCTAATTATTGATATCGAACGAAATTAGGAAAATCATTAAAAATTCGTTAAGATTATTAGATCAATTAAAAAAACGATTACATAAGTACATTATTTGCAAATACCGATGTATTTCTAGAAATTAAATTAAATCTACTAAAATTACCTATTAGTTGTTTGAAAATGCTAATGTGGAGTGAAATATAAAACGTACGCAATCGTTTGTTAATTGATTTAATGAGCATAAACAAAATAATTAGTGATTTTTTTTAGCGAATTTAGTAATTTTTTGTTATAGTGTATGTATCTACTTGTTGTGTAAAGTTATTAACTGGAAGGTATATAATTTTTAGTTCGAACTATTTTTCATGGGAAAGTTTACGGGTTCCACCACGTTCCACGTAGATATTGCATGCTTAGCTCGCTAAGAAATAAATTCAGGAACGACTGATATTAAAAACTCTGAAGTGTCTTGAATTTTAAAGCTCATGATGGAACTTACTCATAAATCTAGGTGAACATTTGCTTTGCTGATTGTTTTTCATTTTCAATTTTCGTTGGTTATTAGTTTTCAGTAGGTATTAGTACAGTACCTACCTCCTGCTATACTGCACCTTTCTCGAACTATTCTCTCCCCTACATACGTATGTCTGTTTAATTATAAATACGATAAAAGATCTGCAATGCAGTTGGTGAGAATACGCCTTCCCTTTCGCCATTTTCTTAGAAAAGACGTAAAAAGGCGAGAGATCCTGTAGGGGCAAAGACAAGGAAGGCGTGGGATGTCCTGACACAAGCCAATTTAATAATATTAATTGCGTTCACGTGAGTGAGTTGAAAACAAAACGTTCTCATCGTCCTAATTTAATATGTATGTTTATGTTAATTTTTTCATAGCACTTTCTTTTCTTTTTAAAAGAAAACAACTAGGACATCCAAAGTAGGATTAACCAACCCTTCCATCTTTTAATTTTTGTATATGCAGCCAAATATACATCATCATCATAGGGTCGTCAGTCCTAAGACTGGTTGGACACGTACTTCCACTCTTTCCTATCCTGAGCTAAACTTCGCATTTCCCTAAAACTAGAACAACCCACATCCTTAACTATTTGCGAACAGTAATCTAATCTAGGCCTACCTCTACCCCTCTTAACTCCTGTTTCTGCCTCTAATACGATTCTGACTAGCTCTTCATGCCTGAGAAGGTGTCCTACCAACCTATCTCGCCTATTTTTAATTGACTTCCATAGAGTCTTCTGTTCTCCTATTCTTTCTAATACCTCTTCATTTCTACCCACGTTATCCTCATCATTCGCCTATAACATTACATTTCGAAGTCTTCTAACCTTTTCTTTTCCGCCGCGCCCACTGTCCATGTTTCGCACCCGTACAGCGCCGCGCTCCAAACATACACCTTTAACAACCTTTTTCGAATTTCCAAATTAAGCCAAATATACACCCGAATATAAAGCTGCCCAGTTTTTTGCGATTATTCAGTCAAAACAAACGATTTTTAATAAATGATTCGTACTAACATGAAACATCCTGGATGTTAAAAGGAGATATAAGCAATCGTTTCATCTTTTAGTTAAATGTTTTAATTGTCAGTCAGTATGCTGTGCTATCAGCTTACCACTTACATCGTTTTTTTCTCCAAAGCAATGATACGATATGATTTTAATTATAAGGCATGTATTTGCAGTTGTCCTACCTCGTCCTTCTTGTAAACCACCCCAAAATATAAAAAAGTTAAAGTTTGAAATTGCCTGAAAATAGTATGTGCATTCTGAAGAGAGAATACGTAAATATGTACATATAAATAAACATATAGGTATTGCAAAACCGCTGGGATTTGCTTGATAAAACGCTTTTGGCAAAAGTCCAAATTTTTTCGAAGGACGAGGCAGCAACAGATGTCTTATTTTCTGAACCAGAATTCCTTATATTGGAAGTACAAACATTCAATCAGTAGCAAAAAAGGACCTTCGTCTTATTGTTAGATATATTGCTTCAATTAAGAACACTACATCATTATCATCTTTTTCAACTTATTGGCAATTCTATTCTAGCATTCTATATAGCTACATTCAAGGATTTATAGATTTAATAGGGCTCTAATTCAGTACAATTATCTTTAATGTAAATAAAATTTACAATTCAAACTTAAACCATTAGTAGGGGATTCCCGTTTTAGTCATGTTGACATTATTAACACCACTGTCGGCACAGTAATTGTACAATATAATTATTATACACGACGTTCTTCTCTAAGATCTCCAACTTCATTGTGCAAAATTTCACGAAAATTGCTTTCAACCAAGAGGTTCTAATTCAACTAGAAAAACAAATTACATAAAGAGATAGCAGCTTTCAGTGAGATATTAAGTGGTAATGATTTTCTGTAACTGTACCATAGCCTTTGATTTTGGATCTTGTAATTGTCCTTATTGGGATTATGTTGTTTTAATAAAGATATTGCTTGACAAAAGAATGCCCGAATTTTTATCGTTTTGTTTTTCACTTTATCTTCTTACTAACGGTATAACTGAGGGTTTTTTTTTTATCGAAAATGCCCTTTCTCGTTATATATGACAAACGAAGGTATTTGCTACGAATAAACATTCTACCAAAAGTGTGGGAGGTATAATCTAGATAGCAACAGGCAATACATATTTATTCTCGACTACATTACCATATTTTGCTCGCAGTAACAGTCGTTTCGAGTATTTAGTATCCATTTGTACTAGGGTTTATACAAAAACCGACATTTTAGAAAACCGGTTTTCGAATAGTAATTTTTCCAGAAAACCGGTTTCGAATTTTGGTACATTTGGCTAGATTTGTCATTCTCAATTTTTTTTAAGTGTTATTCATATATTGAAAACCGATATTTTCTACTAAAAAACCGGTTTTCGATTTTCATAATTTTCTCCAAAAAAAAAAACGGTTTTTAAAACCGGTTTTTAAAAACCGACAAACCCTAATTTGTACGCAATACGAAATGAAATATATCCAAGTACATCAGTTTGTTTTACAGATTGGATCAATATTTTTGAGCTTTTTGTTTTATACAGAATTTAAAACTAGTTCTTTCCATTGTATTGTAATGGTATCAAAGCAACCTACATTTCTCTTTACGAACAATAGTCTATTTCTGCCCCTCTTAACTCCTGTTTCTGCTCCAATTTGTCTCAGTCCTAGCAATCTATCTCGCCTATTTTTTTACTGCCTAAATATGCGGCCTAAACTAAAAACGACGCGATCCTGCACCATTCTTCCTTTTATCTCTAACGATTTCTCCATCCTGATAAATTATCTGACTCCCTAAATATCGAAATATCTACTAGTTTTTGGTCTCTTATTTTTATACTAGCTGTAACCTTAGTTTTACATCGCTTCCATTTTATTTAAAACTCCTCCGATTTATAATAAATACACATTTTGCATTGCAAAGTTCAGGTTTTATGAATTTAAAGTTTGCAAACAAGGGTATGATAATTTAAAAATTTAGCGGAGTCGAAGTCTTTTTTGCAGTAACATTAGTTGATTTTTTAATGACAGTGGAATTAATTAAAAAGTTTGATGGTTGTAGGAAATGAGAGAAAATGTGGACGACCATTTACCTAATATTTGATTTATTGGAAGAAACTAATGAAAAACTAGGTTTTGAGTGAAGGGGGTTCAGGGCAATTTATGTACATCCCACACTCATGCTTTTATGTTTGAAATACGTGTCACGAATGTGCGAAAAATCGAAAAGTCGATCTCCCAGCAAGTGCGATGAGAATGAAAGATTAATGGAAATACTTGGTTTTGAGAAAGCCAAAGGAAATTCAATTTTCTTAATCTTAATGAGAGTTGACTCATCGACGTTATTTATCTTTCCGTTTTATTCTCTTTAGAAAAAAACATCTTCTATTGCTTCTAAGGTTTGAAAAGAGAACGGCATTTATTAATTTTGTTTCGTGCCGGTCTCTCGAATTCTTCTCAAGAGCAGTACCTCTTGTATAACCGAGAACAATATATTGTACTACATTGTTCGTTAGAAATTGACAAAAAGAAATAACTTTTACCATACACGAAACACCTTTAACGTTAAATTCATCTGTGTAACTAATAAATTATTAGGCATCTAATTGTGGATTTTAGTAAACAATTTTACGATAACAATAAAGCTTAACCGTCAATAGAAATATAAGGAATTTCTTGATTATAAGAGTGAAACGGTATTGCCGATGGTTCCGTATAGAAAATATTATAAGCGTTTGAAATGTGGTGTTATAGGGGGATGATGAAAATACCGTGGATAGAAAAGGCTATGAATGAAGAGGTATTAGAAAGAGCAAGAGAACAAAAAGGGCGTTACGGAAGTCAATAAGTTGTGTCGTGTTCCTATCCTGAGCTAATCTTCGCATTTTCCTAAAACTAGAACATTTTGTGAACAGTAATCTAATCCAGGATGTTCCAATTTAAAGAAAATGCAAAGCTTGAATCAGGTTTGGAAAGACTGGAGGTAGGTGTCGAACCAGTTTTAAGATTGACAACACTATAACGATGAGTATTCCTAGTTTGCTGAATAAGTAATCAATTAAGAAAATAAGGAAGCAAAGTCGCTGCCGAGACTCATCCACGTTGTCAACGCAGTGTCTCTGGGGAGATGTCAGCCGCAGTTGCAGACGAAAAGTTTGGACATAACAGTCCATTGAGGGACCACGTCCGCTCAGTGCGAACCATGATTCTAATACAATGGATTTTGACCATGAAGCAAACTCAATACTTAATTTTAAAATTATTGATGCCCGTTTTCACCGACGTAAATAAGTACTACTTAGCTTTAAGTAGTTCTTAAAAGACGGAATTGGTTTGCACCGCAAGTTAAGTCGCGCTTAAGAATCGAAACAGATGCTTAACTTTAAGCACAGGATGTTCCTGACTTAAGCATTGCTTAAGCCTATCGTAACAATTTCGGCAGTAGTTCGGCATTTTTCACCGTAAGAAAATAACATCGTTATAGTAAAGAGGTTATTATCATTAAATGGAAGTTGGTGTGTGTTATCATTTATGTTATTGTATTGAAATGTACGGATTATTTACATTCCAAGAGATGTAATTAGTATCTGATGATATATTAGAAATTTGAAAATGTACACAATTTAACTGGAGTAGTGATAAGAACGCCAATAGCTAATCATTAGTAATAGAAGGTGAACTAATAATATACAATAATAGTACGTTTTATCAGAAGTTTGGTTTTTATTGAAAATAAACACTTTTAGATTACACTTAAGAGTTCATTTTGGTAGTTGGCGTTAACAGTTAAACTCCTGTAGTACTGTTTTTAGTTAGAAAAGGTTTGTTTATACGAAATTCAGAAGAAAATTGTCTCTACACTATACCAATTACAACTAAAAATTGTTTCTAACACCATATCACTAATATACATACAAACTAAAACACAACAAAATACAAATAATTACAAAAACAAAAACGTATAACAGCAGAAAAAGGCGGCAAACAACACTTCACGACAGCAGACGTTACTTAACGAACACAATAAATTTGAAACTTCTTGACCATGCTGCACAAAAAACCCTACAAATTACTAAATTTTACCGTTGTTGCCAAACCATCAACAACTAAGCACTACTTACTTAAGTTGCAGGTAGACAGCGTACGGTGCAAACGAATTGGAAGTTAAGTAAGACTTATGCTTAAGCAGTACTTTGTTAAGTCTGCCTTAGTAAAACGTCGGTGCAAACGGGCATGAATTTCGCTTTTTTTTGAACCCCTCCCTTACGCTAAGTCATACTTTGAGCAACCTTTCTGAGAAGTATTACGTCACAAAAGCTAGCCCACCCTTCTATAAACGATTTCTTGTGATTAAAAATAGCAATGAGAATGAAAAATTTTAAGAATTGCCACTCTAAGAAAAAAGTTAAAACAGAGTTGATGTACTTTGAACGTCACAATTCCTCCCTCCGCGCTGGTCATATTTCGTTACGCTAAGCAATACCCCTCTCTCCCGATTATTTCGGAACGTATCTTATGAATGGCCCATTTGCGTCTCATAAATTTCATGGTAATAGTTTTTAGAAATGTAAGTGTAATAAGTTTAGAGTTGTTTTTTCGTATTTTTTTTTTTAATGCAATAAAAGCAATGACGTTCTAAATTTTCTCGTTTTGTTGCGTAAGTGGAATTAATTGGCATCAAGTATGCGTATGTAATTGCAATTATACAGGAGATAGAGAGTAATTTAACTTGAGACATGCGTTGAGGCTTGTTGACGTCCGCGAGGAAAGTTGAACAACTTTTCGAAAAGTTGCGCGCCTTTCAGCAGTTGGTTTTAGTGATTTGTTTCGCGATTTCTTGAACAATTTGTAGTTAGTTGAGAAAGGAGGATTTAACGTTGTTACGAATTAAGTTCTGGATTTGTAAACAAACGTACCTACTAAGCCTTATCAGTGCAAGTTGTTGAAGTACGAATTCGAATACGATGAAACTGAAGCATCAAGCGGGCGAGAAAGTTAGTGAGAGAGTTTTTGATGATAAAAAAAGTACGGTCTAGAAGTGAGTATGTAGGTATTTTTTCGCAATGTCTTTTAGGATTATTTGTTGGATGTGGGTGCCCTCTTTTGGGTTGGTTGTACTCCCCCCTGCGAGAGGCGAGGGTGGCAGCAGGCGGTGGAATAGACGTGCTCTCGCCCAGGACACAGCTTCTCCATCGGCGCAAATCCAATTCATGCAAGACTCAGTTTCAGTTCAGCGCCACCCTTGTTGGCATGCGGCGGTAAATACCCTATAGAACTCGTGGCGAAATCGTCGTACTGATAGATGATTTCAACCCTCCAGAGCATCTAGTTCGTCCAGAGAGACAGTAGGGCTGCTGAGAAAGTTTGAACGAATTGTCAACGCGACTTTCTGTATGTAATGATAATTGCACTCAATAAAAAATCGCACTATTATTAGAGAATTATTGTAAATTTTGAAATGATTTTTTTTCACTTTTGCACAATACCACTCGCACAGTAGTTTAAATATTTTTCACGCCACCTGCATAGCACCGCACCGCACCAATTTATATACATACATATCCGGATTCAAGGTAATTATTTTATAATAAATTTTTTAATTGTTTTCTTTTTCTTTTTATTAATGTTGTTTTAATTTCTTTTTTTTAGATTTGTACAACGTTTTTTAACCCTTTCCCTTTTCAAAGCATGTTCCGGTTTGTGTTTGAATGATTAAATGTTTTGCGTCTCTCTCTCTGTCAACTCTTTTACTACAAATAGCGTGTTTGTATCGGGGATGAATGGAGTAGTAGTACTAAGTGCTATTTGTTTCCCGATACTTTACTGGATCCACGCATTTCGTCTAACAGACGGTTAATTCATTTGCATTTCCGCAACATTAAATAGAACTTTTATTTCCTTCTATTTATTCCTGATAGTGAAAGTTTTCAGTTTATGAATGAAACATTTCTGACGCACTTCTAGAGAATGTATTATTTATTATATATATCATTGTATAGGTTTCAAAAAAGAATACCATTACGAAAGCCCTTTTTGATATTTATTCTTGAACTTGTCGTTTATAATTCTTATGTACATTAATGTTTTTTCTATGCTCATAATAAATAATTTCATTGATAATAAAAAACTAATTTAGAATTATGACATCAACCGTTTAATAATGTTATAATTAACACATTTTATTGGATAATTAACGCACGTTTTGAGTTACAAAACAAATAAAGAAAGAGGCAGTTAACCAAAGGCGAAGCGACGCTAAATTGCCATCATAAAAATTAATTTCGTTTCACACATGTGCGTCAATCAAAATTGCGGCAACAATTTTGTCTGCGTTACATAAAAAAATAATGAATAAGTAAATCAAATGAAAATGTCGCACTGCTCGGAAGAGAATCGCAGAAGTTTTCACTAATCAGAGTATCAAGGTTGTAGAAAAGTAAATTTTGCGTAATACTATTGGAAATTTATTTCTTGATCTATCGATAAACGTACAACTTTTATAAAGATTTTTTAATAAAAAAGAGTCCCTTTTTCATTTATTCTTTTGTATGTTGTAAACGACAAAGTTCTTGAAATTGCAACATTTTTTTCTGGTCAAAGTAGCAAACAGTAAAATACCGCGTGGCACGTAGTTACAAAAGTTTTTTTTTGTGGTAAATATAATGTTTATGCATTGTGCATCGCTATCTAAACTTTTAATGAGGCTCTCAGAATTTTACAAATTCAACGAATCACCCGGTAAAATATTTACAACAGACTAAAGAAAATAAAAACTTAAAGGGCCTACGAGGTGTTTGAACAAATCAATTTTGAATGACATTAACGAAACTCTGCCATTTACAAATTGCCAAAGTAATGTCTTGTCGTGCCTGTTAATTTCGCACGATTAAGTGGGTCCCGTGGAATCAGTTTGCCTCGAAGGTCTAATGGCCTCACTAATTACTAATTCTGTGGTCAGTCCATAAATAAAAAAAAATGTCTAGATAAATGATGATAATTTAAGCAATTTTTAATACATTAGGTCCGCTTTTTTGAAGTAAACAGTCAAACTTTTTTCACTCGAATCTCTTAAATGCGATCATTTATGTTCGCGTTAAACAAAATTTCTGATTATTATTGCTGTTAAACCCCCCGGTAATATCCCTTGCAATTTCAGAAAGATCTGAGTATAAGTACTTCGTTCGTATTGTCTTTTACGACCGAAACCGTATTATCCTAACCTAAACTAACCTAACCGCTTTTTTTCTGTATTGGGTACCGCGGTGAAAATTTATGGCGGTTATCGCTGCGGCTGATTTTTCCGAAGAAAATTAATAGAAATTGGAATATAGGACGATTGTACCTTTTTAATTAATCAATTCAATAAACGAGCAGTTAATACTTTAAAGTAACCAGCCAGGTATTTTTCCTACATAAACAGAAGCGCCGAACTCATTAGAGTATTATAGTATTATCTGCATGTTAACAGCAACGAAAGCTCTATTTGAGTGGTTTACCTTGAACCCGATTGGATGGCATTTCCTTGGCATACTAATTTTAAAGTTCAAGTGCTCTTAGATAATTAAAATTACGGCTGATGGATTTGACAGAGCGTGCAAATAACACCTGAAATGAGATGCAAAAAGGAGAGATTTATTTGCATTCCCAACAAATCCGATACTCAATTAACCTTTACGATAAAGTTGACATTGCACTTGAACTAATTAACGAAATGTAAGCACATTATTCTCCCACCTTGCACGTGAATTTACGTTAAATGAAATTCATTTTCTGTCAGTTCTGTAATGAACACTAACTAATTACTTTTCCTAATAAGTACATGACATTATCCTTCGGCGTATCTCGCCTTCACAACAATTGAGACAGACGCTTTTTTATCTAGTACAGAATTCGAAGAAAACAACGTTTACATCACGAACAGAACTTGTCAAGACTTCATACATAAAATTACAAAAAGGTTTCAAATAATTATAGCAAATTCTTTTTTAAGAATTAGACATTCATTTAAAAACAAGACAGGTACAAAGAGTTTGCTTCACGACCAACGATTACAAACAAAAAATTTTATTCATTAATTTATTAGGTAACTCATAAAATTTAGGATCGCTTCAATAGTTAAACACAATTATTTTGGTATTTTCTGATTATTATCGACATACCTATATAAGAAANACATCCCACATCCCTAACTATTTGCGAACAGTAATCTAATCTAGGTCTACCTCTACCCCTCTTGACTCCTGTTTCTGCCTCTAATATGTCTCTGACTAGACCTTCATTCCTGTAGAAATAGTAGAATTTATTAGGTAACTCATAAAATTTAGGATCGCTTCAATAGTTAAACACAATTATTTTGGTATTTTCTGATTATTATCGACATACCTATATAAGAAATGTACGATAAGACTAAGCTTAGCTAAAGATTGTTCAATTTTGTTAACACCAAACGTACCATTTTAAACGCTTGCAATAATTAATCATTCGACAATAGCTGTTGTTGTACGGTTTTAATATTTTAAAATAAAATTATGAATGGGTGGACTACAAAGGTTATGGATGCTGTTTGACGAATGAAAATGGGTGATAATTGGCAACAGAATTTATTGTGCATAATTGAAGAGATATAATCTTGCTTAATTGAATTCAACACTCGTATAATTGGAAATCGCCCGACAGTTAATTCCCTCTTTAATGTAATTTTGGCTTTCGGTGTATTCATTTACCAATAATCATAATTAATTGTTTCATAAGACCCTAATTAAATTTGTATTAAGCGAGTAAAATAGAGTTTGTTTTCAATTAAATTAAACTAAAGGAGAGGGATCGTGAAAAGAAACTAACAAGCGGTGTTTTGGAAATGAAATTTAGACGGTTACTGCCAAAAAGGTTGTTATACTAAAAATGAAAATTTTACGGCATCGTTTTACAAGGGTTTCCCTTTTTTGAATTAGTTCTTTTTAACATTGTCTTTTATTCTTTTTTACGGCATGATCCTTAAAAAGGCTTATAAAATAAAGAGGATAGTTTGACTTTATGTCTTCGCCAGTTCCAAGAAGCAAATTTGCCTATAAAAGCTGTATTTATAACTAAACCAGTTGAGTAAATAAAGTAAAAAGTTGTTAAAATCTTATCATAATACACTTTTTTATTGTACTAATGTAGATTACGTTTTATTGCCTAAATTGGTGCAGTATTCGCAGAATTGCTTCAGACGAGACACTGGGCCGAGCTTTCAGATAATTTAAAATTACTTTTTTTGGATTTTTATAAATATGGCAAATCGCATTTAAATTTAATTGCTATAAAACGTTTGTATTAATTTATAGAGAACAAACGTAATAATAATAATAATTGACAATTAAAACTGCTAAATACTAATGAACTAAAAGAAATATCTTTAATTACAGCAAATAATTTTTGAAAAACGGACACGTGTTTCGTCCTGTTTTAGTAAGGGTATTTATCAACGCGAAACTAACACTAAACATTTTTATAAAATTTCATTTACTAGTTAGATAATATTTTACTCAGTTTTAAAGACTTCATATTTAATCATTTTTGACGTAAATTAATTATCCTCTCCAAACGACACGAAGTTTTTATTTCAAGTAAGAGATGGATTATTTGGATCATAAATTTAAACGTACTCTCTTCGATAAAATGGACACAAAATACTTTTTCTTTAAAATTATGATATTTTTATCGGATCCTTGCTGTTGTGACAAATTCCTTTTGGGTTAATTAATCTAAGAAACGACATTAACGCATTTAGCAGTTAAATTGACTTTAAACTTATTTAGTAAATTATATAATAAAGCATAGAGTTCATTACCGATCGAAAAATAAACACTTCGAATGCCTTTGAAAAGAAGAAGATCTTGAGTTTACGGCCTGTTTTTAATCTTTGATCTTTTATAAATCTCTATTTCAATATAAAAGAAGGAACTTTGTGATGCGACAAAAACTGATAAAAATCATTCATGAAACATTAAAAAGGAATTTAAAAGTTGAAAATTCTTCGCCAGTTTCCCGCTATTCCCTTCGAACTTTAGCTGTTGTTCGAAAACTTATTCATAAAGGTCGCCTGTGATGACACTGTTTATGCTACAGCTTGAAAATAAATGGATTTCGAAAGTAGGAAGAAGTAAATCTAATAAAAATCACGAAGAAGGACTATCCATTGTCTTATTGGATTTTCTGTTTGCCTTAGGTAAACGAAAAAGCCAATGAAAATAATGAAATTGTTTTTTTTTTCTGTTGCCAAAATTTCATTTAAATTACACCCCAATAGTTTCAGTCGGTTCCTTTATCCTTTGATCCCCTTCCCGTTGCCGACACATTGTAAGACTTTTTAATAATCAAATGTTAACACAAACAATAAGGAAACAATTTTAAAACGAATAATAATGGAAGACGTTTGCGTAGTAGTTTCGAACGGAGTGTAGGAAATGTAAATTAATTTCACTTTCAAGTGTTTAGATTTACCCTTCATTGTAGCAACAGTAATTAGAGGCCAATGAATATTGATGAGCAATTTAGATTAAAGCCACCCTCGAGAAACTACCTAAGTCTCAAGACATATATACATATTGAAGCCGACGTAAGTTCTTGCGTGATATGGAATAATTATCACGTATTATACTTGGCAACGAAAATTTACCAACACAGTATTATAATCAACTCAGAAAGCTACACCAATCATTCATTTATACTTTTATTATCTGATTCACAAAATTTTATAAACAAAATTAAAATATAAACAAGCCACTGCAAATTCTAAATTTTAAAATAAATATGTAATTCTAAAATGTAGCATCGTGCTACAGATGGCGTTTACTGCGCCATTTGTAGTATTTTCTAAAACGCACTGTTAAGACAGCAGGTAAAAGTTGGTCTGTGTTCTGTCGGAGCTGCCTGCGACGCGCTGATGAGATCCAAAAAGATCGAAATCGCGATCCGCGTCTGGCAGTTTCGACAGAATACAGACCACTTCAAATTATTTTATTCGATTAAGCTAACGTGCCTATCAGCAAGTAGATATCCGCACAGATGGACCTTGTTGGAGCATACGTAATCCTAAAATGTAGCATCGTGCTGCAGATTGCGTTTGCTGCGCCATTTGTAGTATTTCTTTTTTAAAATAAACTGTTTAAAAATTCGCAATTAGATATAAACCCGTTCGGCCATCAAACACGAATCAAAACAGCATCAGTTTACTTACTGGCCGCGAAAGTCTTTTTCCCTGAAAGATTACCACTTTCCTGGAGTACCAGGAATATATGTATATGTATTAAAGTTTGTTCAAAACATCGATATAGAAGATGCTTTAAAATTTCATTCACTACGTATTTTACCGGAAAGCAAACAAAATGAAATATGCGGCAGAGCTAACAACTGGTCAATGAAGAATATTTTCACGGTCAATAGCAAATATGAGACTTGCGTGATTCAAAAACAAAACCGAACCGGAACAAAACTAACAAAATGCGATCCACTCTGTCAACTTTAACCTTTTCTTTAAATCCCTACGGAAACCGTTAGATGATCCTGTACATATATTCAAGCGAAACACGAAGTATTTGTTATGTTAAATGATTTGGATAAAGATAAGTTTCTAAAAAGTTTTTAGAATTTTTTGTCAACAATATACTTGGCTGGAGCTTTTGATCTCGCGTAACTGAAAATTACACGGATGCCTCTAAATGTCTAAATATTCCACATAATTTCGTTTGTGGGTTGTCACAAGTGTATCTGCCTCTACATTAATAATAATTGCTAGAGAAGAGCCTCAGGGTTCGTTTCTTGGTCCTGTTTTAGTCAATATATTCATGATCGACGCGACACAAGGGGATGTCTCTCCACTTAAAGCAAACATCCGTATAATTTTCTAATGTCATGTTAATATCCTCGTGCAAAGTTCAACACACTTTGTCAAAGTTTCAGTTTGATGTAACTACTCGAATACGTATTTTAATATTATTCGCGAATAACAGGATGTTATTTTAGGTTCCTAAGTATTATGCTACAAAAAACACGTTATTTTGGTATTTTCTTTGGCGTAAATGAATAGTTTTTTTTTGTTTGCGGCATGTTGCTTCTATGTAGTATGTAAAATTTGTGGTATGTTTTTTGTTCATGATTGTACAACAGACTCCAATTTGATATCGAGCAAAAGCTACAATTAATCTGTGAAAAACTTTTTCTAGATGAAAAAAGTTCGGTTTATGATACAGATTTCAGTTTGGCTATTAGTTTGTGCACAAAGTAAAGGATTTGGCGTATCGCGAACCAGAAATTCAGGTGAAGTAAACCGCAAAGATTCCGTGAATGGAGAGCCCAGTTGTGAAGAACTCAAAGCAATGTGGCGACTTTCCAAGAGGCAATCCAGGGCAGCCGAAGTCACTAACGAAATTCCCACATTCAGAGACCCATTCTCTTATAACGTGTGGGAACCTTACTATGTCGCCAGATCACGCAGCATGGGAGGGTAAGTTTTGTAATTTTTACGATTTCAAAACCCCGTTTGTATATTACTGTTCAATATTTTAATACTTTTCGGTAAATATTTAAATATAAATGGTCAGGTTTTAAATATTTTAGTCGAAAACGCCAGTATTTGATAGCAATTGGTCTAACTAATGTCTCTTTATTTTTTTTCGACTAACCTAACAGCAAGATAAATAAAGGGTAGTCGTTATCACAAACAACTGCTGTTACTACTGCTGAAACCACAGCGCATTCTGTGCGGTAAAATTACATACTTAAAAAAAGTAAAAGACGAGGGGAGATACAATGATTAAGTCGATTAAATGAAATTTACTTAATTTTTAACCCTTGCACTTCAAAATTTAGCTCGAAAGAAGGTCTCATGGTCCGTATTAGGACCAGTATGAGCATTATGTGAATTAAGTTTGAAAACAACATTTATTTTATAAAAGAAAACTCTCCAGTCTGCTAGAGTTTAGATTTGTTTGTGAATTACTTTCTCTTCATTGTCCTGTTTCGACCTTAATTTCACTTTAATTGCCTTTAGGATTTCACGTAGGAAGACTTATCAGCAGGGAAGCTTTTTTAAGGGATAAATAAATATTTACCGGCAAAAGCAATTTCTTCTATATAGTTGTTTAATTTGATGGCCAGACTTCAGAGATTGATAAAGTATTTTGACTTAATCAGTCTCTTATTTACATGACGTAAATAGTAAACATTATAAGAAAATCAATACGGGCTCATCTAACCAAGGCCTGTAGGTAAAAAAGTTATAAAATACATGGATTTACGCATATGTACATAATGCGCTTTGATTCGTCAAAATTCGGTAGGTAAAAGCCCAGATATAATTTGATGTTGGAAGCTGATGGTTGATTGTAATTGTACCAGATAGTTGAATAAAGCATTGTGCTATTTTTACCCGATTTGTGAATATCGCGACCGTTTTACACAGGGATTTTCTATCTGCAGCAATTGAAAATGTCACATACAGGAAATATGTCACGAATTGCACACATTGCTAGTCACTGGAAACTAGACGTGAATGTAATCACATTTTATTTTATTCATAAACCGTGTATTCTGCCTCGTTGGTTATTTATCTAAAGCTAGAATGAGAAATGCGACTTACAAACCCACATTTTGTCCCTACAACTCCCACTAAAAAGACAAAAGACTGGGCCCATTAATTATATCTGAATGGAGGCATGTTTTTAAGTAGTAGAACATTTATCGAAAGGATTTGTACAGAACTGTGATGAGAAGATATTTGGTATATTTGTTAAACAATTAAATTTGCATCCATCTATCTTATGAATTTCCTTCCACAAAAATTCTGTAGCTGATTTTAGGTATCTAGGAAGTCGGAAGGAGTTGAAGGGATATAAAGCAGAGGATAGAGAAGGGTCGAGTCGCCTTCAATAAAAAGAAGTCAATTCTATGCTCGCGAACGGTTAATTTAGAAATTCGAAAAAGGGTGTATGTTTGGAGGACGGCGCTGTACGGGTGCGAAACATGGACAGTGGGCGCGACGGAGAGAGAAGGTTAGAAATGAAGAAGTATTAGAAAGAATACGAGAACAGAGGACTCTACGGAAGTCAATAAGAAATAGGCGAGATAGATTAATAGGACACCTTCTCAGGCACGAGGTTCTAGTTAGATGCAGAAACAGGAGTTAGGAGGGGTAGAGGTAGACCTAGATTAGATTACTGTTCGCAAATAGTTACGGATGTGGGTTGTTCTAGTTTTAGAAAGGATAGGAAAGAGTGAAGGTGCGTGTCCAACTAGTATTTAGGACTGACGACCTTATGATGATGATTTGTAGTCAAATAATAACTTCTCTTAAACCATTTTCCAAAAATCCATTCTAGATACATGTTAAAATTCAATAATTCAGTGTCCGTTCCAACAAATGAAACAAAAAACTGTTTTAATTAAGCACATTGCAAAAGTGCTTCATTATTTACACAACTCCAAGCGCCAAGCGAAAAAAAGCAATAAATATGCAGAATAACGATGAGTGACCTTGTTTGGAAAAAGCTGATTATATGAAATGAAACCGCTAACTATTCCAGGAATTCCATTTTACTGTGGAAATTCGAAAATGCCAGTGAAAAGTGACCCGATGCACGCATCAAATACTAATTAAATCACGAGTTGCACGTGTCCACTAGAATTTCAATAATTGCTTTAATATTGCTTTGCGTTGCTACGCAAAATTTAATAATGCCTAGTTATTTCAATAACGAAACCCTCGTTTTAATCTCATCAACCTTGACCTTAGTTGCACAGTGACAAAATTTCGCTCATTAATTGATTTCTATATTTCAACCTTCGAATGTTTACAGTTTATCTAGAACTCGTTCCCAAATTGTATAAGCCCGGGTCCATGGTTAAAAATCGAGTCGAAGTTTCCATAACGAATAATATAAAAGCAACAAATGTTATAAATTAGGCACTCTGTTATATCTCCTCATTTCTAACTATCTCTATCCACATCCATATTATTCGCCTGTAATACCACACCTTCCATGTTTCGCACCCGTACAGCGCCGCACTGCAGAGACACTCCTTTAACAATTTTTTTCGAATTTCTAAATTAGTCGTTCGCGAACATAGGAGTGACTTTTTTTTGTTGGAAATGACTCGACCTTACGCTATCCTCTATTTTGTATCTCCCCTGCTTTTTCCATTCTGAGTTATTTGACTCCTATCTTTATATTCGTTCGTTCCCTACTTTTTCTTCCCTTGTATACCAATATTTTTGACGTACTTTTATTTATTTTCATACAACACCGCTTTCATTTTATTTAAATCTAATTTCTAACTCCTCCTTGCTAGATGCTAATACTACAGTATCATCTGTAAATCTAAGGATACTAATCTTTTTCCCCTGTATATCTATTCCTACATATGTTGCATTTTAAATAAAAATTAATGAAATTATCCACTGTGCATTATTTTTTTTTGATATAATGAAATTTCATCTAGTAAAGATGAAAATTATTCAATGTTTCTAAAAGTTTTTCCGGCTGTCGTAATCCTTTACTCACAAAGCGGAACTCAAAACTAGATTTAGAATGTAATTCTGGATTTTGGTAATACAACTCAGAAACCATTGTCAAAGAGGCAATGGAGGGAAAACTAAACTGGAAAAGAAACTTTAGAAGTGGCTTTATTCTTTCGCTGAGTCATTACGTTTTCATTAAACTTTCAGCCGGTAAAAGTTGGAAATTTGTAAGAAGGGAAACGGTGGCATAATCGTGTTTCGAATAGAACATAAGGAGCACACAGGTAAGTAGAGTTCTCACTGTCTGAGGTGAAGAGAAGTTTCAAGTCCGTTCATTGTTTTAAGCTCCGCCGAAAGTAAAACTCCTGAATCGATATCGTTTTCGTTTAAAGAAAAGCGGAACAACGTGGGCGGCATTGTTAGTGTTGGTCTATGAGCGTATAAAGTTTGATGTTGCGCTTCGCTGCTCGAGAATATTGTTCGCTAGAATAAATTTTAATATGTATGTATTCGGAAACTTTCTAGAGGAACGCCTCCGAATGTACTCGGATTTTACGGCTTTGGAAACTTATTTATCTGTTCGGGGTTTCCAGTGACGAATTCATCTTTTTCTTTTTTTTTTTGTAACCAACAAAAACTAGTACTACTCAAAACTGGTGGTGAATGGTGACTTGGGCAAAAGAGCAACAAGACCTACGCCCAAAGCTCTTACATAAAGTGCACTAACCCTTAAAGCACCAATCGAAAGAAGTTGAATCCCTTTATGTTACAAATTACAAAGTATTTTTATAAAGTACCTCTTTTACTAAGCCTTAAGTATTCGAATTTGGGCAGAGCTTTCGTGCTTTTTATTTCAAAATGTGCCTCCAGACCTTTTACGGCTTGAATTACAATGCCTTCATGCCGTGAAAGATTCCGGAAGCACATTACATTTAATTAGAATGCTTTCAAACCCTGAAAGATCCGGAAGCACGTTTTGAAGTGCAAAGCACGAAAGCTCTGTCGATGAAACTAAATTATTGAGACCTGGCAGCCGAAATTCGACTTCAAATTCAACTTAAAACCATTTAAGTTGCATTTAAAATTACAGCGAACAGTTTGGTAGATAAAGCGCTCGACTAATAACGCACTTCCTATTTTGATATGTTATGGAGTTCATAGGTTTTTGAGCTTCCAATAATTGAAAACCAGAATTAGTTATACCAAAACTAACCGAACCCAATCCCAATACCAACCTAACGTTAGGCATTCTTTTTTATTACCATTCCAACAGTTAAACATTGAAGCCCTAACAGTACAAAACAAAAGTAACAAATGACTCACCGTTATAAATTAATAGGCCTTCTCCAATTATCCTCTCTTCCCGAAGCATCTATAACAAAATCCATTATTAACTTTACAAACTTAACAAACAATACTAATAGTAAAATACGAAAATATTGTATTTTATAGTTTATTGGGAAACTTTTAAGGCTGCGACCTTAAGTAGGGGAAAAATAGGTAAATTCTGGTTTTAATAAATACTGTTTAAAATAAATTAGGTCTTTCTTGCTTTTTTATTCGTATATGTAGTTGTATAGCACCCAAAGTAAATGCAGAATGAGGGTAAAGTCATTATTTAAAGAAGCGGTTGGCGAACAAATAAAATTAAACGCAAGGGCGGGTTTGCATGAAATAGTATTAGGTGTCGGTTCGCCCAGCAATGAAAACAGTTTGTGCTTTTCTCGGTCGTCTTTCGGAAAATTACTTAAGTAAATTACGACATTTCCTAAATTACTGTCGTAATAATTTGTTGATTTGTTTGGAGCGAAGAGGCTAACTTCAAGTACTAATTTAAGATGCTGCATATGCAACTATACAAAAATAGGTACAACTAAAAAATACCATTCCAAGTTAATCGGTTAAATATGATAATGAATTCTATTCAAAAAACGCTTTAAACCGTTTTTCTGCGATGGATTAAAAACACTTAATCGACTAAATTACATAGTTGAAACTTTAAAAAGGATCAACGTATTTACTGCGTAAAGCTTTGGGATATTTGCATAATTCAATTCCACCAGACAGAAAAGAAAAATTGTCTACTTGTTTAAATTAATAAAACATGAAAGGAAGTTTCAACTTGCTATTCTCAGGGGTGAGATAATAGAATTTAAAAGTAGTTGTGAGTTAGCTTAGCTTTTCTTATTATCTTGCAAGCTTTAACGAAATTAAAGCTCAGTATCGTAATAAAATTTGAAATGATTGCGCACATATATGCCACATTCTTGTTCAGTTGTGATACAGTTTAACTTTGACGCATTAAAAAAGTACATATTGGCGAAATGGCTGGAAGGGAAAACCTCGCTTGTCGATGACGTTAAGCAAAAGCAGCGAATTGAAAAGACGTTAGTTCTGACATTGATTAATGGCACACGAAATTTCATAGTTAGATTGTATCAAATAAATCTGTTGGGACTTTTCAGAGAGAAAATATGAAATATTGACGCAACACTATTCACATTATTCTAATATCAAGTACAGAATTTGCTTAAATTTTACTTTAAGAATATCGTTTTATATCACTAACTATAGGGTTGTTCGGAAAGTCATTTCGTTTTTTTTTGTGAAAATGAAAGACAGTTTTCCTATAATAAACAAATACTGTATTAAATTATATATTGACCGTTCTGGTCCAACACCTTTTGCCATCTTTCTGGTAGTAGCATAATTCCACGCTCATAAAATTTTTGGTCTTTGCTGGCAAAAAACTGATCGAGGAGGTTTTTGACCTCCTCATTTGAGGTGAAGGTTTTACCGTCTAAAAAATTTTGGAGTGACCGGAACAAATAATAATCCGATGGTGCCAGGTCTGGAGAATATGGTGGGTGTAGCATTGTATCCCATTCAAGCTGTAAAAGCTTTTGGCGAGTGACCAAACTTGTGTGAGGTCTCGCGTTGTCTTGGTGAAACACTACACCTTTCCTGTTGATTAGTTCTGACCTTTTCTGTTGAAGTGCATCATTCAGTTTGTCCAGCTGATGACAGTAGACTTCCGAATTAATCGTTGTGTTATCCGGTAAAAGCTCAAAAAAAACGATTCCTTTAAAATCCCACCAAACAGACAGCATCACCTTTTTTTGGTGAATATCGGCTTTGGAAATGGTTTGAGCCGGTTCATCTTTTTTGCTCCATGACCTCTTGCGTTTGACGTTGTTGTATACAACCCATTTTTCGTCCCCAGTGATGATGCGCTTCAAAAACGGATCATTTTCGTGACGTTTGAGAAGCGAATCGCAGACGTCAATGCGGCGACACAGATTTCTCTCTGTGAGAACATGGGGAACCCATACATCGAGCTTCGAGGATAATCCCAGGCCTTTCAAGTGGTCATAAACTGTTGAATTTGATAAATTTAACCTCAATCCGATCTCACGTGTTGTTATTCGCCGGTTCACATCAACTAATGCCTTTATCGCGTCTTTATCAGCTTCAACCGGCCTTCCCGAACGTGGTGCATCTTCGACATCAAAATTGCCGGATCGAAATTTAGCGAACCAGTTCTGGCACTGGCGTACTGTCAACACACCTTCTCCATACACATCAGTCAATTTCTTTCTGGCTTGAACAGCATTTTTACCCTTTCTGTAGTAAAACAGTAAGATATGTCGAAAATGCTGCTTATCGCTCTCCATATTTAAAAGGGCACCAACCAAAAACTACTGCGTAGAATTAATTGGAATTTTTCACACACAAGCCTTGCTATATGAGCTCTCAAAGCATATAAAAATTATACGGCTTAAATGTGAAGTTGGGTGCAAAAGAATACAATTAAATCCTCTGTCGGGAAAAAACGAAATGACTTTCCGAACAACCCTATAGATAAACAAAAATAATGACTTTTTCTTTTCAGAATGCGTTTGGGTCGGTTTAATAAAGATCGCCCAGTATATGGTACAGTTGTTCATAAAGCGCCGTCGCTGCGCTTTCAAGATATGGCTGGTCAAAAAGTTTTCGAAGAGGTAGCTCGAACCCTAGGGACTAATCGTTTTGCTGTTGAACCGAGACGGAGAGCGTCCTTCAGGCTAGGAGGTGGCCGAATTTCCCCCGTCAGATACTCTCCTTCAAGTGGAAGTTTTCAGCACCTCAAGGTAAACAATCGAAAAATCTTCACCTAATGTACTTACGAAACACAATGTTCTCGGTGATCAGCTTTTGATTTTGTTATTGTATCGACGCATTTGAAACTTGACTAGATATCCTGAAAAAACGTTTCCGGTGATCAATTTTTGATTTATTGCATCGTAAACTAAGAAATTGTATGTACAAAAACTGATTTTGTTCTAGGAACTTATTCGAACTGAAAGGGCCAGGGAACTTCAGGAGCAACGCATGGCTGAAGAAGTAGCAGCCAGAGCTGCTGCAAGAAAGCACTTAAGCGGGCATGGAAACTACAGAAATCCCACGTAAGTAATACCTGTTTAATGATATTAAATTTGTGGATTAATTAATCGGAAATTTTCACGGAATTTTCACGAAAGATTACCTAGGTTCTTGCTGCAATTCAAACAATCTTGTTAATGGGTTCTTAGTGTTTTTATTTATTAGTGAAAAAGATAAAATCGTCAATCATATCCGCTTAATTTCAGTCAGTGTGATGCGTGCGGATTGGACTTCTTTTGAAAATTACTCTACATGGAGTTATTTCTTTTATGTTTCTTAATCACGAGGCATTTTCCTAACTTTCACGTTTTTACGGTTACATACCTGAAACGAAGCAAGGGATTATGAAGTGTTTATTTTGCGTTACTTTTCTGAATAAGAATTGCTCGATCAGCCGACGTAAAACCGATATTTTGGCACCCAGTTAATGGACCCATTACTTATCAATTTTGACACGGGAAACTTAATCATAAAGTTATAATAAAACAGCTGCTATTGATTGATGATTATACACTTCCTAAAAATATTATAAAGGAAGTATCGGCCTACTTGAGCTATCATTTTAATGTCACTTTCAGATTATGTTGACCTTTTCAGATGCCAGTATATCCGAAGAAAAATAATAATTTTGAAAAATCTATTAAGAACTTCTGTACAGATTAAATAGTTTAATAGTAGAAAATCTATTATCAATGAAAATTGATCTATGCGTACTTGATATTACGAAGTGCCTTTTACATCATATTTATAGGAATTATCTACACTAATATTTTAAAGGGGGTGAAGTCGGGGGCGTTAACTACTGGAAAACGATGTCTTGCATACTTACAATTTCGAAGAAAATAAATAAAAAGTGTTTTGAAAATGTCAGTCGAAATAAAACTAGTCGTAAAACGGATTCAAGAAAATATTTTTCTCGCTTTAACAGCGTATTTTTATTTACCATTCAAATAAGCAGCAGATTTACTGATATATCTATTCTGCGTGTCGTATTGTCGTATTTGATATGATACTTTTTGAACTGACATCTAACATAAACTACTTGTGTCCTTATGTGAGAGATTTAAATGCTTAGCTGAATCGCTGCGAAATAATCCTATTGAATGAACAAAATAAAACAAGACTGTAATCTTCTTTGCGTCCTACGTTTTGATCTCCGTTAAAATATATATACAAATATATATATATCTTACACATTGCAAAACTGAATAAAACGGATGCATAATATGTATTTATTCGCTCCACGAAGTTATTTCGCTCACAAACTTCCTCTAAAGAAAACGGCTACATCATCCGACAATAGTTCCACGTATCAAACTTTACAGTTTGATCAAGAACAAAGGTGTTTGCTTTACAATGGCATTTAAACAAAGACAACTTTAGGAAACCCGTTTAATAAAACAATTGTCAGAATTAAACCTAGCGTAAGCTCAATAGTCACTAAATATAGGAATAGAGAGACACATATTAATTTTCCACTGTAGGAAAATCAGACTAGCACTTGACCTGATACTGTTCTTGATCAATTTTCCTTGAAATACCAACTATAAGATGAAAACTGTGCGATATCTGTTACTAGAAATGTATTGTAACCTATATGCAGAGATGTGAAATACTTGCATTTAAAATGCAAATACAAAATAAAAAATACCAGTTTTTATATTGCATTTAAATACTTTTTTGAGAAACGCATTTTGTATTTTATTTAAAATACTTTACCAAACGTATTTTCTATTTGTAAAATGGTTAAAAAAAAGTGTTTTGAAAATACGTATTTTGCATTTGACATTTAAAATACAAAAGGGAAATCTATTTTGTATTTTACATTTAAAATAACAAATCAAAAAGGTATTTGCATTTTGTATTTAAATACTTTAAAAAAAACATTTTGCACATTTCTAGTAATAGTAATAGTTATTTTACGACCGAATAAAGCTTGCTGCAAAATCTACTTTTTGCTAAAGAACAAAAACGACTTTTAGATACAACAAAATATTTATATTATCATTATGTAAATTCTCCTTTCTTCAAGAGCGTTTCAAACTTTATTTTCTAGGTTTCATTCCACTATAATGCAATTTAAATGACAAAGTGTATTAGCGATTTGCATCAGTTTTAAGCTATGTTCAGACGGGAGGACATCACAAACGCGTTCATCGCGCGATGATACGCCTAAAAACCGTATATACATTGCTGTCGTATATTTTAATGCATGGAGTTGAATTGTATCTCTACAAATGTGTACCTATATGTATTATAGTTGAGTATTATAGGTAGACGACCTTTGATATTTCAGTACCTTTAAAATATTCTCAAATCCAAATATAGCTACTTCGTCTTCGTATTGAATGGCAAGCGTGGGAGATTGTAGGAATGTAAAGATAGAATTAACTGAATTCAATCGATAGTAATTGTACACACAAGTAAACTACTTTATTTCGAATTGCATCGGTCTCGACAGTCGATTGAAGTGTTCTCGTTAAATTCAATACGTTTCTCGAATATCATTTGATTTCGCTCATTCAAGTCTGAAAATGTTTGCTTTCGAAAGTACAATTCTTTATGTTATATAACTTTTGATTTATCCCTTATATGTTATCCTTTTTCTTCTATTAAACGCTACCGTTGTACTGCTTTGTTTTTATTTCTTTAAATGTGCATTCAATAATTCCTGTATGTCTTAAATATTTCGATCGATCATTATAAAATTTTGTACACACATTGTCAGGAGTATAAAAAAAAGAGGGAAAAAAATACTGTTCCCGAGGGATAGAAAAATTAGTTTTATATGGTCGTACGTGATTTTTGACAAGTATTTGGGACATCAACACGAACGAAGCGGCGGGTAAAATCTAGTTAATGATAAAATGACAAAATGCTTCACTTTACTGGGAATTAATAGTTATAAATTTCAGACAGTACAGTTTTGACATTTACATATGTATTACAGTTGAAAATATCGTACCAGCCCACACCGTACTGTAAATCAAAAATAATTGTAAGGATTTTAATATTGCAAACATTGATTATTCGGCTGGGAGACAATTTTAAACGAATGGCAGAACGAGTAGGACGAAATTAATTACCGAAATAATGGAAATTGCTTTATAATATTGAATTTGGAAAGTAAATACAAATCCAGTGGAATTTATGAACGAAATTTGAAACCGTGGAAATGAGAAGAAGACGAATATTTAGTAAAGAAAGCTTTTTATTGCATGATCTTGTACTTGTATAAAAATCTAGCTGTAATGCCCGCCGTTGCCAGGCTAAAAATAGATCACATTTGAGGAAATTTTGCGAGGATTTTAAGACATTTCAAAAAATGGTGGAGCATTCAAGAATTTTCGACAAAATCTTTAGGAAATTTCTAACAATTCGAGAACGTTTTTGGACATTCTGTCATGTTCGTACGTACATCGCTACTCAGTTAGTGAATTTCGAAACATTTTTAGTTTTCTTATATGAGAAGCCGAGGTGTCAAAAAGAGATTTTCACCACATTATTTGAAGTTTTTGTGCTGTTTCTAAAGAAACTAAATAGAAGTATTGATGATTCGCTTTCTCAATGAGCTTAGAATCTTGTGTAGGTAGTTTGCGAGGATATAATGCTCTTGCTCTAAACGGCACAACGGCCAAAGCCAAGTCACTTGGGGATTACTGTTGGACTTAAAGTCAGCCGGTCTCGAAATAAGGGATTTACACTATCATTGCCTTAAAGCTTTTAATTCGTTAACTTTGTTTTCCAATTAATGGAAAAAAATACGTAAGATAAATAACATATATCACAAAAAATACTACAAACGGCACAGTGAACTCCATCTGTAGCACGATGCTACATTTTAGGATTACGTATTTTTGCGACGCGCTGATGAGATCGAAAAAGATCGAAATTGCGATCCGCGTCTGGCAGTTTCGACAGAATACAGACCACTTCGCATTATTTCAACATATATCATAATTTTTAAAACGACCTAACGTACTGTTATATAGATATAGATTAGTTTTACGACGTAAACGCATAATGAGTTTGAAATTTTGTACACACTTTGTTAGGGGTACATAAAAGGGTATGGGGCACCATTTATCCAGAAAAAGAATACTGTTCCCGAAGAATAGAAAAAATTACTTTTATATGATTGTCGATGATCTTTGAGACGTGTTTACTAGGTACCTAATCAGCGCGAGTTAAACCGCGGATAAAAAAAGGTAGTCGTGTTATAAAATTTTAGGTTTCTATGTAAAACATATTAAAGTTATGCAACAATAATATCAATTATATCATCTTAGATGTCTCATTTCCCACTTTCATATTCTAGGAAAAATCCTCTTTTTACGTGATTATTTTTGTATCACTAAGTAGTAATAACTTACATCACCATTTCGCGAACAGCGTGATAATAAAATTTTTTCTGGGATCTTGTTGGTTAATTATTTTTTTCGTTGTGTAATAATGAATTTACATAAACTTCTAGGATCTAAAAGCTCCCACTTTAATATCGTCTAAAACAACGTGACGCTAGTATTACGACAAATTATAAAATGCCATTTGCAGGCCATGGTAACACAAAGTTATTATTTATAGTGAAACTTCGAAATTAATACCGAAACTGAAACTAATATTTAATGCTTGAAATGTAAAGTACCTATAAATGTGTCCAATTATCAAACGGTAAATATCAGGGTTTAAGACTGATAAATTTAGTTTGTCGTTGGTTCTAGCTGCACTAAAAACTTTTTGGCCATTGCTACACACAAAACACATCAATCAACTCGTAATGTAGTGGAAAACTATGTAAATTTTGAAGTTTAACAGTAACACAAAACGAAGTAGCCCTCCAAATTCCTTTCGGTGAGTTCAACTACGTACTATTCCTGTTTCGGCGAATAGTAAAAGGACTCTGATACTGAATTAAATTAAATGCCTCACTTTTTTTTTTTAACAAAGTAGCGGTAGGTTTAACTCTCTTATAATAGGATCAAACAAAAGTTTAAAAAATATGCTCATAATCTAAAGAAATAAA